GGTCCAATGTTGGTGGAAACGTAAAGTCCAGTGTTGATGGGTTCGTATGTTCTGATATTGGTGGACTTGTAAGATCGGTTCGAAACAAATGTTGACATTAAAAATTTGCCGGAAAAATCGGCTACGGAGCCCATGTAGAGCTCTGCTTCTCTGCAGCTGGATCCAGCTTACAAAAACAGCTGTGTACATAATGTTGGTGCCGATGATTGATAATGGCACCGTTACTGCAAAGGAGATTACGGTGTCAAAAATAAAAATTTATGTTAATTTTTTATCTTTTTTGCTTCTTTTGTTTCTTTTCCCATTCGGGGCGCTTTTCCTCGACATATAAAACGAGTTTCTACGAATACTTACATTCCGCAAGCGGATACCGCAAACTTCGAGTTGCAAAAAACTCAACACCCCTCTTAGGGTAATCGCAAATGCCAGAAAGTTGAACGAAATCTCATCCGCACCTTTCTTCATCCATTTGCAGAAAGGAGCAAAAACAACAAGGATGCAGAAATTAAATGCAACAAAGCTACCATTCATACTGTCGATGATCGCATCAGCAACTCTGGTGCGCAAGCTACCATATTTCCAGTGAGCGGCCGAGAAAGGATAGGGTTAGCTGAGGTAGGTGTTTTTTGTGCCCTTTTATCTTGAAACATAGAACAAATCTTTGTTCAAAGATATCGCTGAGATATCAGTCCTCTGCAGTGCGCTGATTGGTTTCAGCTCTAAATTGGCGCTGACATGTCTTAAAATGCTATGGAATTCAATTTGCTTTTACAGCGCATCAATTTTCTTAGCGGGTCACAGTTGCCGATAAAAGAGAGTCACTTGCACCAATTCCTCGCAGAGAGGATTTTCAGTCTGATAGCCATTTTGAGTAAAAATAGCAGCGCAAATAAACGAGCTGGACGAAGATTAACTGCACTGAATGCAGCTAGTGATTACGCGAAATCCTTATAGTTCCAAACATCCACTCACCCCTCATCTGCTGGCGAACGATTTCTCGAACAAATGCGAATGTACCATATGCGAACATATCATCCGGGATTGGGTGGTCACGATTCCACTGGCCGCAAGCATATTCAAAAAAATTTTCACACGGATCTGCCGAACGATTCATTGCCATTAACTTGAAAAAAAGAGTTGCATTAAAATTTCTTATTTGTATGGGTCAGTCAACAATTAGACACTCTCACTCAGTTAATTACTTGCTCAGTGACATTATCACAGGTTTAATAAGTCAGATTTGTGACGATGAAATAGACTTCAGGACTACAAACAGGATGGCCACAAGCGACACTGCACTGGTAAAGCAATTGGAAAAGTGACCAGCTGCATGTTTGGAAACAAGTTATGAGTTATGGCTAATCAAAACATATTTCTAGCTTCTCAAACACCCACGGTTTGCCCCTTCCTGCTACTGACATATTTTAAGCAGGCCCTGTAAAAACACTGCAAATTTCGGTGTTCACTGCTGCACTCTGTCATTCGCGGCGAAAATGTCCGTCATCGAATGCATACCAAATTATTGGCGGCTTGAACGCATCCTTTTGTTGAGCATACCCGTTTCTCAGCATCTTTTAACGCTTTATTCCTTAACTCTGCAAAACGAACACCATAAAGCTTATTTGCTGAATTTCTTATACTTATGCACTGAAGCAGAATGCAAAAACGCACTGCTTGGACGACGCTTTGATGTTGAAGCTTATTTCCGGGCGAGATTCGAGCTTGCGCATGTGTGTGTGTGTATGTGTGTGTTACACAGCAACATATTTTTCTTCGAAAATACTAAATCTATGAAGTTAAATTACTGCAAACAAAGTCCCGTACGACCCAAGAAAATGAAATCAACAGTCAATTTCATTCTATCTTGATCTCCAGTCGCCAGGCCAACTTTGAGCTTATTTCATAATCCGAAACTCAAGAAAGTGTAAGTATGGAGCTCAGAGGTGCAGCCAAAAAACTGATAGCCAGATTTGAAGCAACGCTGTACTTTATTCCTTACCTCATCCTTGAATTCGGGAAAATTTCACAAACCAAAACACAAAGAGTTGTAGGCTAATATTTTG